GCCGCCAAGCCGCGGTGTATGCAAGACAGATGAATGAATGCAACATGCTATCATACTGTATGCTAATTGAAACATGCCCTAATCTAACCATCATAAGCTGGTAAATAAAAGGGAAAGACGTGGGTTGGAAGACATACATCACACGCACACACATTTATTACAATTGTGCCCTCGCTCGGAGGGTCCCGAATAAATAATATACAGTCCGAATAAATAGTACAGTCTGAATAAATACAAAATCCTAATTAATTAACAAATTAATCTAGGAACGAGCAGGTAAATTAGCACGCAAATCCATGGACCGCCTTTGCTCTGTTCCAAATGATGAATGATGCATGCTTGAGTTGCCTTGCGCAGAAATCCATTACGATGCCCAGTTTGCCTCTTGTTTGCAATTGTTCTTGGAATATTGCGCAACGCTCCAGAAGCCGCTGATTTCTGATTTACTGCAACAGAGAGCAACAAAGGGGCATGGCAAAGTATTTTCACATATATATGCATGACTACTCTTTAGGGAGTGTAGTCCTCGATCCTCGTGCCACCAATCACGCATATCGATGCATGATGGCCGAGGAGTCAAATTGCACGACGCAATATGAAATGAATGCACATGAAAACACACAAAGACCTAAACTCCATCATAGGTAATCCGGAGTGTCGGCGACAGGGAATGAGACACGTTCGCGTCACTCGGAGTACGAAACGTACCTCGTTTCCCATGCTTGGGCTAACTCCTATCCCAAACACGATGCAATGAGATGGCATACACAATGCGATTAACATACAACCTAGCATACGCAATGCTATGAAATGGCATACACATGCTCGATGTGAACATGGCATACACGATGCTCTAACATGCAATCTAGCATACGCAATGCTATGGACCGAATGACAAACCACAATGCACGATGGACTTACACTAATCATTGAGTGGACCTCAGCCACACTCACATCAGTGGCCATGAGATGGAAAGAGACAACCGAAATGCGTGCGCACGTGCATGCATACCGAGGATCGAACCTAAGGCATAAAATGCCACTCTACCAAAGCATGGCAAGGATGAAAGATGGCATACAATGACACATGATATAGCTCTGAAATGTGATAAAAGGTGGCCCAACATGCAACCATGTCCACACAATGCAAGCTAGGAGGCCCAGGTACCGAAACTAGTGAAGTGCGTTACACTAGAGGTATCCAAAACAATGCACCAAAGGCAAAACTAACCCCAAACAGACCCTAGGTAGGTCTGAAACAGTGGGGAAATGGCCTAAAATGATGGCTCGGAATGCAACGAAATGGAGCTCATTCAATGGTCGGTAAATGAGGCATACAAGCCCGACTCTCAAACGCATTTAAAGAGATGAAAACATGGCAACATGGCATTCATATAAGCTCTGAAATTTTGACAAAAGATGATCCCAGGCATGAAAACACTCAGTATATGCATGGAATGGATCTCAAAACTCAAAGCTAAGCATGGGCCTTGAACTACAAGCATGCAAACTAACATCATTCAACCATGAGACCCAAAAAAGAGCTAGGGCAATCCAAAATAAGCATATTATCAGTTTAAGACATGGCCAAAATGTCTAACATGAAGGGCTAAAACAACACGCAACTAGGCTAGTAAGCATGGTTTACATGGCATGTACATGAAGCATAAGAGAGGTCCTCGAACCAACCAAAAATAGGAACATAATATGTCAAATAAGCCCCAAATAACCACTGAAATGCATCCAACACATGCAAAAATGATGAGCTCCTTTGAAGGGCCATGAAAGGGATTACTCACACATACACAAGGACACTTAACATGGAAAACCAACTCTAGAAATCAATTATGACAAGCCTAAAACTCACCAAATTGGGCCCTGGAAATGGGTCAATGAAGCATACAATGAAAGGCCCCTTCAAAAGGCCTTGAATGGAATTGTTCTACACATGCATTATGACACAAAAATATGGTCAAAGAGGCCCCAGAAAGAGCTAGGGCAAGACCTTGAAACTCACCGAATTGGGCCAAAAAGTGACTTCACAAACATGCAAGTGAGGGAGCCTTTGGAAGGCCAAAAAGGCCAACAAACAAAACAAGGAGAGAGAGGGTCACCCCCCTCTGATTTTAGCTCTCAAAAACACATCCAAGCCATTGAAAATCCACTGGATTCAGTGGTTAAGAGGCCAAACCAAGGCCAATGCAAATACTCACATGCATAGCTCAAAACATGAAGAAATAAAGCATGAAAGGGGGAGAGATGACCCCAAACAGAGAAGTGACTTAAGTAAACATGTTTATAAGCTCAAAAGGAAACTTTTTCTAGTTTGTGACAAATCTCGAAAATGCTCACAAGTAGGACTAAGATATGATGCAAAATAGGCCTACAAAGAGGGATAAAGAATACAAGGATGTAGGAGACCTCAAACAGAAAAGTGTCCTTAATCAATATTCAAGAGGAGCTCAAAATATGAACTTTTTAGTTTATGAAAAAGTCCAAAAATACTTGCAAGTATGGCTAATCAATGGATCAAAAAAATGCAAGTTTAAGGGAAATAGTGTGCTTACTCTTGAAGCTCAAGAAGACAGCAGCAAAAAGGGTCCAAACTCTGAGCTAAAACCAGATTTTTGGAGCTCAAAATGATCCTCAAAGAACCTCAGCCCAATGGTAGTTGATGTTTGATCAAGGGTGCCTAGGCAAAATGAGAGGTATATCTCTTAAGTATAGCTTATGTTATGCACACATGGCAAGAGAATGAGAGAGAGGCAGAGGTTTTAGGTCTGGAAGTTGTAGAGAGAGAAGAGACTTTTTTAGAGTGAGACGCTCCCAAGCTTCTCCAAGAAGTTGCTCTTTGAAAAATGGGAGATATATCATCATATATAGCAAAAAATGAGAGTTGGCTCGAAAATATCTGATTATAGGACAGTTGGAGTTGTGGAAGACAACTGGAGGGAAAATATTTATCAATTTTGAGCTTTCTGGGCATAAGTGGTCG